TTATGCTATATATAACACCTAGGGACCTCGTGGGGTGGGCGGCGAGCCGCGCATACCCAAGGGAGGGATGTGAGATCGTCACGCCGCCACCACACAGGGATTTTAAGGAGAGGAGGGTGTGATGCGCTAGCCGTCGCCCACCATGGGGAGTCTGCCTCTTCGTATCTCTTACTCACAAACCATGGTCACGGGATCGTTAGCCGGAAATTCTTTTTCGGAGGAGTAGGACGGTGTCTTCTCCGGCCCATAAGGAGCTGTTGTCTGCTCTCCGTTTAGGGGTGGTAGCTCGGGGCGGTGGTGGGGGGCTGTGGCTTGGAGGATTAGGGCGGGGAAACTGGAGGCACGGAGCGCCCGCGCGCGCATATGGGCTGGCTGTCCGGCGATTCTGCGGCGGCGGATGCGGCGCGGACGGCGTGGGCGAGCGGTGGGGCACCGGGATGGCAAGGAAGAAAGGCCAAGACGTGGTCAAAAATCTCACACGGCAGGTCAAAGACGAATGCGGCGTCGGGCGTCGTGGCTGGGCAGCCCACGGCGGAGAGCCCGTGCGTCGGAGAACAGCATCCGATTCTGCTGTGGCGCGGGTCGTCCACGCGCACAAATCCCCAGTCTGCGTGAAAGCGCTCGTCGGTGTAGTAAGGATCGTCGTCCGAAATGGCAGACGCGTCGAGATGCAGGCCGCTGAAGGCGGAGCGGTAGACCGGCTCCTCCTCATACTCCTCAAAGGAGGTCGACCCCCGCTCCAGAGAGAGCCGGGAGGGATCGATCGAGGCGGAGCGGTAGACCGGCTCTGCCCATTCCTGTGACCTCTGGTGGCAGAGCGGTGGTGGCGCCAGGTCGAGCTCCGTCAAGCGAGCCTCAAGGTCATCGGCATCAGGAGAGGACCTTGAGGCAAGCATCCTTCTGTGGCGTCAGTCGGCGCTGCGAGCAGCGTCATGTCAACACACCTCGAGCAGCCGTGTCCTTGACGCGGCGGAAGAAGGTCAGACGCGCGCTTTTCTTTATTTTTTGCTAAAGCACCTCAACTCGTCCTGTGCCGCGTTTGTGCCGCGTCCTGGACCCCGGTTGATTTTTTCTTTGAGGCTCACCTCGAACGCATGCCTAGACCGGAAACTCGAGCGAGCCCAAGCAGGCGCCGGGACGCTCCTCTCCACCGTGATGCTCCTCGCCATCATCGTTAGGGTGCCCACAGGGCCCAAAAAAGAAAGGAAAAAAGAAATGGGCACCCCCGATCGCAGCACTTCGTGTTGGCCAGTCGAGAAATTGAGAGTGTGACTAGGAGGGTGGGACGCTGGGGATTCTCAAAGGTATACCCTTGGAATGGCCGTACCGCCCGCCAGCCGGCGCAGCAGCGGCCAGCGCAGCGGCCGCCGGCGCAGCAGCCAGATCAGCCGGTGCGCGCCTTGCGAGGCGAGTACTGCCGCCCGGCAGCCTTGAGGCGGCCGGGCGGCAGTACTCGTCGGAATGTTGCGAGCCGTGCGCGCGCCGAGGCGCGCGCGGCGCGCGCCCGCCCGGCTGCCAGTAGGAGGCGGCGCAATATGGCCTATAGTACAGCCCTTGAGGAGGAGGAAGAGGCTGGCTGGCAGTGCTGTATGCCGCCGAGGGGCAGTTTTGGGGTACTGTCACGGGCCCAGGGGGCTGCAGAAGGCGTCCGCAGCCGGGACAACCCGCCCCCCCAGCCGAGGCCGGTCGAAGCCCACTTGGAGGCAGCCATGAGGAGTCCTCTTGGTGCTCCTGGCGCCCGTTGGAATGGCGAGCGCGCGCCGAGGGGGGGGGGGGGGGGTCTTGCTTGCTCCACACCGAGCGCCATCGGTCCGGACCGGTGCCTCCACCGAGGGGTGGCCTGCACAAGGTCTGAGCCGCGGGCGCTCGGCGCCAAGTGCAGTGTCACGCTCGCGCTCGCGCGTGACAAACCGGGGAACCCTCGTTTCCTATGTACTCGGTCCCCCAACGGAAGAGGCCTCGCTCCTATTGGAACTGGCCAACATCAGATTTGCCTCGTGCGTCCCTTTTTGAGTCGGAAAGCTATTTTCTTTTGGGTCCTGTGGGCACCCTATCTATCTCCTCTTCTAGCTCTTAGCATGAGCTGCGCCCGGTGTCCGACCCCTTTTGCGCAGCAACACCTTAAACTTTTAGGCCCTCCAAATTCGGGTCGGAGCGTAGCGGAGTGGGCCCCGAGTTTGAAAAAGGGCGACGGACGCTTGCGTCCTAGCCTCCAACAACGCCTCCCCGGCGCAGAGGGGCCCCCGGAGGGATGCACAACCGCTCCACGCCACGCCGCTTGCGGCGGTCCTCTTCCCAGCTCCGCTGAGGGCCGCGCGTTATTTCTTTTTGGTCGAGTCCGCCCGCTCGGCCACGGGCGCGGAGCTGATCCACGCCTGGGCACGGCTCGCGCGATGGAGCCTGTCGCTGACATTTCCCCCCCGTCGTGCTTCGCCTCCTGCTCTGAGGTTGTCCGCACGCTTCGCGCCACTGGCGCTTCCGCTCCGCCGCTCTCCGAGAAGCTCCGCCTCACACGCCGGCTTGCACGTGCCGGCGAGCGCTGCCTCTTTCCGCATGCC